TCCACTTTACTGTTGAGCACGTTCAAAAACTAATTATAGGTACTGGTAATCTCCATTTTTGTGATGTTATAAGAATTAACTAATTATTTATTGAACACCTACTATGCATACAACATGCTTTCTGAGAATTAAGATGACACAGACTAGCATTCTGCCTACAAGAAGCTTAATAGGGATAAGACACAAATGCAAATCCCTGTAATGTATGGCAGAATGTGTTAACATAAGTCACTGATAAAAGTGCGTAGAAATTTAGAGGAAGAGATTACTTGCAGCTGGTAAGGTCAGAGATGACTTGATAGAAGAAACAGCATTTAGACAGGGAGCGGTGGCTCATGCCTTAATCTCTGCACTTTGGGAGCCAGGGCGGGCGGATTACCTGAGGTCAGGAGTTCCAGACCAGCCTGGTCAAAAAGGTAAAACCCTGTCTCTACCAAAAAATACAAAAAATTAGCCGAGTGTGGTGGTGCACGCCTGTAGTCCCAGCTATTGGGGAGAGTGAGGTGGGAGGATTGCTTGAACCTGGGAGGCAGAAGTTGCAGTAAGCCGAGATCATACTACTTTACTCCAGCCTGGGCTACAAAGTGAGACTATGCCTCCAGAAAAAAAAGGAAACAGCATTTAAATCATGCTTTAATGAATTCCAGGATTGTTTTTTTGGTTTTCTTGTGTTTTTTTTGAGACGGAGTCTCGCTCTGTCGCCCAGGCTGGAGTGCAGTGGGCTTGATCTCAGCTCACTGCAACCTCCGCCTCCCGGGTTCACGCCATTCTCCTGCCTCAGCCTCCCGAGTAGCTGGGACTACAGGCGCCCGCCACCTCGCCCGACTAGTTTTTTGTATTTTTTTAGCAGAGACGGGGTTTCGCCGTGTTAGCCAGGATGGTCCTGATCTCCTGACCTCATGATCCGCCCGTCTCGGCCTCCCAAAGTGCTGGGATTACAGGCTTGAGCCACCGCGCCCGGCCTCTAGGATTGTTTTGAGACAGAGTCTTGCTCTATTGCCCAAGCTGTAGTGCAGTGGTGTGATCTCAGCTCAGTGCAGCCTCAACATTCTGGGCTCAGGTGATTCTCCCACTTCAGCCTCCCAGGTATCTGGGACTACAGGCACATGCCACCACACCTGGCTACTTTTTATATTTTTCTGTAGAGACAGGGTTTTGCCATGTTGCCCAGGCTGGTCTCAAACTCCCAACCTCAAGTGATCCACCTGCCTCAGCCTCTCAAAGTGCTGGGATTACAGGCATGAGCCACCACACCTGGTCAGAATTCCAGGATTTCCTATGTCAAGATGAAGAAAACAGTAGGGTAAAATCATATGTCTCTCTTTGAGTCATTCCATTATCCAGATACAAGCAAAACAAGGCTTCCAAAGCAGGACCAAAGTTCCCCATACTAAGTATAGCATAAATATCAAAACATCCAGGACACCACAAATCACAGGTTCTAGGCAGTTGACATAGGTCTCTCTGTTACAGCTACTAACACGGCTAGAACGTATGGTCACCTCTAAACATGATAAATTTATCCTATCCTAAATTAACATTTGTCTTCTTAAAGTTCTTGAAATAATAAACCTCTTCATATCAATGTTTACTGGTTTAACAATTATTAAAATATAGCATATACTAAAAGGTAAGTTAACAATTTTCCCTATTGAAATTTGATCTGATTTTCACCGAGGAAGAATTAATAAACATGATTACAAAGTTTTTGTTTTGTTAACATTTTTGGAAAAAAACATTCCAGATCTAAAAGGAACTTGCAAGAGTGCTTGATTGTCTTATAGATGTGAAAACTGAGGGCCCATAAGTTAGATGATCTCTCCAGGACTGCTTAAAAAAAAAAAATTCCCCCATTAAATTAAGCTTTGCCAAACAACTTTTAATAACTCTTACATGGTTTGAGTACACTATCTTTGGACTAAATAACAACTCTCTGCTACACAGACTTAACTACATGAATTGTTAAGTGCCTCAAGTTAAGAAACCTGGAGAATTAGGTTTCTGTTCTGCCTTTGCCACTAATCATGTGACCTTGGATAAGTCACTTAATTGATTATTGAAATATCCCTAAAGTAGGACGTTAGTTTATATGAAATCCAAAATGCTGTGTCTTTAAAGTTCTATAAGTCTAAGCATTTGAAAACTACAGTAACAGAAAAAAAAAAAAAAAAAAAAAAAAAATACAGTGACAGAAAACGTACAAACTTCCATTTTATACCCACTGCTCCAGTTCTAACCACTTTGGAACAATATTTTATGGTAGTATTAGGCTGCAAGACGGCAAACTGTCTAACCATAACAAATTGTATGTGCAAGAGAGGTACAAGAATAACAGGTGGTATAATAATTCAGCATAAATATGCACAACTCTCTCTCAAAAAAAGTCAAGTTCTTTCTTGAACCTCTAAATGCTTCAGGATTCCTTACTTTCAGAATTATAGTCACCTTCTCCTTTGTAATTCACTGCAATATTTTATACACACACACACACGATTCATGGCCATATTAAGGCTAGTTTCTATAATTGTCAGGGAGGACTGTTCTGTCTTTCCTATTTACGTGAAGCTATTACAGATAAAATCAGAAAGAAGATTACAATAAAATGTAGACCACAAACAAAACCTAAAACTTGAAAAGTAATTCACTCAGTGAGGGTTTTAAATCCATCACATTTCTATTCTAAAACAAAAGCTTGTAGAGAATTAAAACACACACACACACACACACACACCCATTATCAGTTTCTGCAGTGAACTTCTATATGAAGACATAAATAGATGGCAAATCAATGGAAACTCAAGAGAATCATTTTCATTCTCTGCTGTCCTCTCAAAACACAATTAAAAAGATACATAAAGAATACATAGGCCGGGCGCGGTGGCTCAAGCCTGTAATCCCAGCACTTTGGGAGGCCGAGACGGGCGGATCACGAGGTCGGGAGATCGAGACCATCCTGGCTAACACGGTGAAACCCCGTCTCTACTAAAAAATACAAAAAACTAGCCGGGCGAGGTGGCGGGCGCCTGTAGTCCCAGCTACCCGGGAGGCTGAGGCAGGAGAATGGCGTAAAACCCGGGAGGCGGAGCTTGCAGTGAGCTGAGATCTGGCCACTGCACTCCAGCCTGGGCGACAGAGCGAGACTCCGTCTCGGAAAAAAAAAAAAAAAAAAAAAGAATACAGTGCTGGGCATGGTGGCTCAATCTGTAATTCCAACATTTTGGGAGGCTGAGGTGGGAGGATCACTTGAGGTCACAGCCTGGCCAACATGGTGAAACCACATTTCTACTAAAAATAGAAAAATTAGCTGGAGATGGTGGCACATACCTGAAATCTCAGCTACTTGGGAGGCTGAGGCAGAATAGCTTGAACCTGGGGGGCAGAGATTGAAGGGAGCCAAGATCGCGCCACTGCACTCCAGCCCTGGTGACAGAGTAAGATTCTGTCTCAAAAAAAAAAAAAAAAAAGAATACAATAGCTGTGCTGCTGCTGTATCATATATGAAAAAAAGGGGCTGGGCGCGGTGGTTTACGCCTGTAATCCCAACACCTTGGGAGGCCGAGGGCAGATCACAAGGTGAAGAGATAGAGACCATCCTGGCCAACATGGTGAAACCCTGTATCTACTAAAAATACAAAAAATTAGCTGGGCATGGCAGCATGCGACTGTAGTCTCAGCTACTCAGGAGGCTGAGGCAGGAGGATAGCTTGAACGCGGGAGGTGGAGGTTGCAGTGAGCCGAGATTGTGCCGCTGCACTCCAGCCTGGAGACAGAGTGAGACTCAGTCTCGAAAACCAAACAAACAAGAAAAAAAGTCAGAACATGTTCTCATTAATTTGCAGAATACAAGAAAAAGATCAAATCAAGGCCCGCATGTCTACAGTCCCAGCTACTCGGGAGATGGAGGTAGGAGGATCGCTTGAGGCTAGGAGTTTCAGGCCACAGTGCACTGTGATAGTGCCTGTGAATAGACACTGCCCTCCAGCCTGGGCAACATAGTGAGACCCTGTCTCTTAAAAAAATAAGTAAATCAAAAGATGCCTTTCTTTGTACTGTACTTTACGATGAAGTCATGAGAAGGCATTTGTTTTTGCATTTGTTCACTTATTTATCTATTGGAACTTTGCAGTCTAGGACATTGTGCACTTCAATAACTGAAGCCAAAAGGAATTTATTTTTAAAAAAACAATGTTTATGTACTGATATCTGCAACTTACTTTGAAATGTGTATTTTTTTAATGGAGAGAGGGATGGATGGATGGTTAGATGCATGATAAAATATAGTGAAATGTTAGTTACAGAATCTAGTTGGTGGTTACATGGGTATTCACTACAAAGTTCTTTCAACTTTTCCAGATGTTTGAAAATTTCATAATGAAATGTTGAGCTAAAATAAATTGCTAGAAGTTTTGATACAACTTTCAGATCAATATTTCACCCTATCTGGACATTTCTACTGTCCAGGGACATGTTTGTAAAGGAGCAGGACCCAAAAACATTACACAGAAATAACACCAATGTCTTAAGACTCTACAGAGCAGAATGTACTGAGATAAATTGTTCTCCAGAGTACACAAATCTGTGGGTATCTGGATCATGCTAAGTCCCAAATAATTCAGAAATATGTGACACAACTCTATGTATACGTACACATGTCAAAATAGCATGCAAAAGTTATATTTTATATATATCATGTAGGGCTTTATCATCCCTCAGTTATCAATGAATTAAAAATACTAAATTCCAATAACCTTTTAACAAATAAGATTTTTATAAAGATTATCTATATCTGGTTTACATAATACAAGACCTTAACTTTACCATTAAAATAAAAATATGCTCTAAAATGCACTATTAATTCCAGGGTGTAAACAGGAACTGAGTTTCAAAATCACTAACCAAATACAGAACCTCCTGGAGAAACTGAAAATACAAGTTTCTGTAAATTTTACGTCCAACACAAAAATTTTAGGAGGCAAACCTGTTTGATGCAATTTATATACCTGAGGCTGAGAAAAGCTGTTCAGTGGCTTAAAGCTCAAGCATGAGTTCCCCCCATTATCCAAGTTCTTATCTACAGGGTTGTCAATAGAACTGATTAGGATTGGCACCAAATTACATTCTGTCATCTCTCAGGTACACTGGATGATGTTTTAAATCAAGTTATCTATTGACAAAAAAATAAAAAAGAACAGAGCAGAATATCCTTCAAAAGATTAAAGGACATAAGGTGCACTGAAAAATAAATTACTAGCTTTTTTGAAACCAAAGAATGTCTACTACTTTATGAATATCTACAAATCACAGCGAAAAAGGAAGATTGAGTGATGTCAGCAGTTCTAATTTCCTCCATCCTCAACCACATTAACCTTTCTCATCCTTGTAACAGATGAGCATACAAAGATAACGCATGTGAAGGCAAGTAACTGGTCTCAGAGGATAACTCACCCCTCTTACTCCTCCTCCTGTGAGACATCTGACTACGACATGCCACATACACTTTTTACTTCATCTGAACAATAAGTTGCTTGAAGGCAAACCCTGTGTTCTCTGGAACTTGCTCACATTTTCCCAGTGGTCTACACAGTGTATGTACCCTGAGTCACACTAACAAATGGACACAAGTGAGTTCTACGGAAGTAGTGGAAGGTTTCAGGGACACTTGGGTCCTATAAATTAATGTTAGAAGTTACTCCTTTCCGCTCTGTGTCTCCATTTCTCCCTTCTGAACAAACAAAACAAAAATTTCTGGACACCAGTGGATTTGCATTTCGAGTTATCAACGGCCTAGCAAATACCGGGGGTGGGAGACAAGCTGGTTAACAAGAAGGACCAGAACCTCCGGAGACAGGCCCAGCTTGCTGAGCCTAAGCGCCAGGGAACCGGCAGGACAACATCAGTTCCGAGGTCCGCAGCCTGGGACCCGCACCACCACCACGAAGTTCTCACAGAGCAAAAACGCCGGGCCGTCTAAGGGGCAGGTCCCAGCAGACGAGGGAGTCCAGCTGGTTGGGGGGTGGTGGGGAAGCGGGCACGACGACAGATGGACTGAAGTCAGCTCCATCGGATCTCCAGGAGACCGGGCACAGGAGGCCACATTGCTCCCGGAGCCCCGAGCAAAGCATCCGGCCCTAGACCCTCAGGGCGGGGCTCCTCCGGCCCCGGCCCCAGGCCCGCCGACAGGGAGAGACTGTGAGGCTCGGACCCCAGGAGTTCGGGTCCTGGCTCGGATCTTACCATGGTGAGGGCAGTGGTGGGGCGCGCCCGCTCTCCGGCTCCACTGGGGATAGGGGGAGGGTCTGGGGAAGGGGAGCACGGGCCGCTCTCGATCTGCTGCCCGCTTGACAGGAGCCGCTGCCGCTTCGCCTCTTGCCAAGATGGCGGCCCCGAGCCACGTCTTCAACCGGAAGCGGCGGAGGTCAAAGGGCGGGGCGGGGCGGGGCCTGCGGGCTGGGGAAATTGAGGGTACCCTGCTCGGGTTAAGACTGTGCACAGGAGGTGTAGGGAGCGTTCACCCCCCCGACTGTGGAACCTTATATCTCTGCCCTTTCACTGTCATCGCCTTCATTTATTTTGCGTCACATCTTACAGTTTATTAAGCCGCTGGCACAGCCACTATTATTTAATAAATATACAAGATAACCCGTGTGCATAAAGGACTAGTATCCGGAATATATACAAATAAAAATTTTTTTTTTTTGAGATGGAGTCTCACTCTGTCGCCCACTCTGTCGCAATAGGGCGATGTCGGCTCACTGCAACCTCCGCTTCCCAGGTTCAAGGGGTTCTTCTGCCTCAGCCTCCCGAGTAGCTGGAATTACAGGCACGGGCCACTACGTTCGGCTGTTTTTTGTAGTTTTAGTGGAGAAGGGGTTTTGCCATGTCGGCCAGGCTGGTCTCGAGCTCCTGACCCCAAGTGATCCACCCGCCTCAGCCTCCCAAAGTGCTGGAATTACAGGCGTGAGCCCCCGCGCCCAGCCTAAGAACTCTTATAACTCAGCAATAAGAAGACAAATACAGTACTCCTGTCTAAAAATGGGCTTCATCTGCAAAATGGAGAGAGTAGAAAACAAAAAATTAAAATGAGCAAAAGATCTGAATAGATATGTGTCCAAAGAAGATTTGTAAATGGCTAATACGCACATTAAGAAATGTTGAATATTCTTAGGGAAATGGAAATCAGACCCATGGTGAGATACCACTTCACACCCACTAGGATGGCTATCATAATAATTGTTGGTGAGGATGAATGTGAAATAATGCAGCCACGTTGGAAAAGAGTTTGGCAGTTCCTCAAAAAGTTAAACAAAATTGCCATATGACTGAGCAATTCTACTCATAGGTACATACCCAGGAGAACTGAATATATGTCAACACAAAAATGTGTACCCTAATGTTCATAGCAACTTTATTCATAGTAGCCAGAAAGTGGAGACAATCCAAACAAATCCATTCATCAATAGATGTGGCATATATATGGAATGGAATATTATTTAATCACAAAATAGAATAAGGTACTGACATGCTACAATATGGATGAACCTTGAAAATATTATGTGAAAAAAGACAGATACAATGGGGCACTCATATATGATTCAATTAATATGAAAGATCCAGAACAGAAGAAAACCCACAGAGACAGAAACTAGCTTAGTGGTTTCCAGGGGCTCAGGAATGGTAGGAATAGGGACTGAGAGCTAATTAGTGTGAGATTTATTTCTGAAATAATTAAAACATTCTGGAATTAAGCCAGGCATGGTGGCATGATCCTAGAGTCCCAGCTACTTGGGAGGCTGAGTTGGGAGGATGGCTTGAGACCAGGGGTTAAAGGTCAGCCTGTGCAAAATAGTGAGACTTAGACTCTTAAAACAAAAACAAACAAAAAATAGTAGTTCTGGAACTAGATAGAGGCAAATATACTAAAAACCACTAAATTGTATACTTTTAAAAGGTGAATTTTTATGATTTGTAAATTATATCTTAAAAAAAAAAACATGCACAGGAAGCAGGGCAGTTGTGCTTATGTCCATTTTGTATATGAAGAAAATGATGAAAAGTTTAAGGGACTTACCCAAAGTTTCTAAACCAGTATATGATGGAACCAGGACTCAAACTCTGTTCTTGTGATTCTCATGTTATTTCTTGTATGCCAAATTTCAGATTTTTCAGAGTATAGCTGATTCAGTAGTTCATCCTTAAATCATTTTATCCCACATCCTTAGCTCAACCCAATAGCACTCACCCATATTAAACCTATATGTCCACAATTAAGTATAATAGCAACTTTTAATTGAGTGCTTAATTTGTGTCAGGTACTTTACACATGTTATTTCCAATCCTTTACAACAATCCAAATAAAGATACTGAGGATCAAAAAAGTTAAGCATTTGTCCAAACTCACACAACTAGTAAGTGGTAGAGCCAAGTTCAAAGTCAGTTTTTTCCTGGCTGGGCCCGGTGGCTTATGCCTGTAATCCCAGCACTTTGGGAGGCTGAGGTGGGTGCAAGAGATCAAACCCATCCTGGCCAACATGGTGAAACCCCATCTCTCCTAAGAGTACAAAAAAAAAAAAAAAATAGCTGGGCGTGGTGGTGTGTGGCTATAGTCCCAGCTACTCGGCGGGAGAATCGCTTGAACCCGGCAGGCAGAGATTGCAGTGAGCTGAGGTCTCACCCCTGTATTCCAGCCTGGGCAACAGAGTGAGACCCTGTCTCAAAAAAAAAAAAAAAGTGACAATGGGTACAAGCTTTCTTTAGGGGATGATGAAATGTCCTAAAAAAGATAACAACTGTACACATTTATGGGATAAATTTTTATTTATTATTTATTATTTATTTATTTTGAGATGGAATCTCGCTCTGTTGCCCAGGCTAGAGTGCAGTGGTGCCATTTCAACTCACTGTAACCTGTGCCTCCCGGGTTCAAGCGAGTCTCCTGTCTCAGCCTCCCGAGTAGCTAGGATTACAGGCATGCACCACCACACCTGACTAATTTTTGTATTTTTAGTAGAGACGAGGGTTTCCCCATGTTGGTCAAGCTGGTCTTGAACTCCTGACCTCAGGTGATCCACCCGCCTCGGCCTCCCAAAGTGCTAGTATTACAGGCATGAGCCATCTCGCCTGGAGCAATTTTAATTTTTGTTACAAAAAGCAGACATGTTTTAAGAAAGATGGAAACAAATTCTTATTTTTTTAGAAAAGTAAAAATCCTGTTAGAAACTATTGCCTTATTGCGGCACCTTCCAGGTCTTCTGACTTGGATCTCAGAAGCTGTGCAAGACCAATTGATGCTGATTCTTCGGAAATATAACTGTAACTGAATTAAACCACAGAAGAAAAACCAACCTTGTAAGCATTCTTCTCGAGGAGTCCCATAGTGGCAGTATATTATAATGGTTAAAAGCAGAGACTTAGGAATCAGACTGACCTATGTTTGGCTGCTGTTTTCAGGACTTATTAGCTGAGTGACTTCAGGCAAGTTACTTTAACTGTCTAAGCCTCAATTACCTAATCTGTAAATTGGCGGTAACATCTATCTCATAAGGTTGTGAAGTAAATTAGATGATATAATCTAAGTGCTGCCCTGCAAAAAATCTAAGTGCTCCTACATAGTAAGTACTCCACATTACATATCCACTATTACGAGCAAAATACATCACAAAATTTTTTTAATGCAGTTCCATTTTTAACTATCAGTATCCCAGAAAAGGTGTCTCTCATTTTTAAAGACCACTTTCCTTGTTTTCCTCTGGCAGGTTTTCAGGATCAAATTTCCAATATTATTTTCTTTTTAAAATTTATTATTATTATTTTGAGATGGAGTCTCGCTCTGTCACCCAGGCTGGAGTGCAGTGGCGCGATCTTGGCTCACCACAACATTTGCCTCCCAGGTTCAAGCAATTTTCCTGCCTCAGCCTCCCGAGTAGCTGGGATGACAGGTGCACACCACCATGCCCAGCTAATTTTTGTGTTTTTAGTAGAGATGGGGGTTTCACCATGTTGGTCAGGCTGGTCTCAAACTCCTAACCTTGTGATCCACCCGCCTTGGCCTCCCAAAGTGCTGGGATTACAGGTGTGAGCCACCGTGCCCAGCCAAAAAATTATTATTATGATTCATTATTTATATTTGAGATGGGGTCTCGATCTGTTGTTGCCCAGGCTGGAGTGAATGCAATGGTCCAATCTCGGTTCACTGCAACCTCTGCCTCCCTGGCTCAAGCAATCCTCCTGCTTCAGCCTCCCAAGTGGCTAGCACTACAGGCGTCTGCCACCACACCTGGCTAATTTTTTTTTAATTTTTAATTTTTATTTTTAATAGAGTGGAGAGGGGCGTTTCTCGCTATGTTGCTCTAGCTGGTCTCAAACTCCTGAACTCAAGCAATCCTCCCGCCTCCGCCTCCTGAAGCGCTGGGATTACAGGCATGAGCCACCACACCCGGCCTCCAATATTTTATGTTTCTCTCTCCCTGACTTCCCAAATTAATTATGTCCACAGTTTGAAAATATTTGTTCCTTACGTCTCCATTCACTCATTCCTTGATTCATCCACCTGATGAGCATTGTTAGTGTCTAATTTCTGCAATGTACTGGTGTTACAAAGTTTAAATATTAATTAGACACAGATCCTGCTTTAAATAAGTTCACAGTCTTCTTTAGCAAATAAGAAAGACAGGACACAGAGTAAACTTTGAACCTCAGATACACAAGGAATAATTTATTACTGTAAGTATGTCCCATGCCATGGCACCCTGTGGAGGGGAAAGACTACAGTGTAATATAGTGCTAGAAAAGGACGTACAGAGTGCTGCGAAATTTCCCCTGGAGAGTGTGTCTACATCCCTGTAAGACTGATCTGGGAGGAACTGCAACCCCAGAGATTGTTGTCCTAGGGGAACAAACGCACACCCTGTTTCCAGATTGGAGGGCTAACTCTATACCAGCCCGAAATTTATCAACCGGCGTTGCCACCCGCATCCGCTAGATGCCGTAACAGATGCATTTACTAAAACCATAGACAAACAGGCGACTTGGCCGCCCAGAGAGGCTTTATCCGTGGCCCCTTGATCTTCTTCCTGCGCAGAGAGTCTTCGCGGGTGAGGCGTAACGTGCAGGAGGTCTCACGAGAGTGGAAGCAAGTCTCGCGAATTTTAAAATTTATCTTTTTGCCTAGCGACTGACAACAGGCTGGTTGCTTGGCGTGGAATGGTAAAGTGGCCTGGCTTTGAGACTGGAGTGAGACCCCAGCCCTAGGCTGGGGTTCTTTCCATTATAGAGGAGACGGATTCAGAAGGGCTACAGGTAATTAGTACTCACCCCAGCAAAAAGGGAACTGTTTTTCTAGAGAGGCTTAAGAGGACTCCCCTTTACCCCATTCCCGGTTACCTCGTCCCATCTCCGTGGTAACTGTTCCTTCGTCACCTCACCACCAACCGTCCTGCTTCCTTTATTCACCAAGAAACTTAGGTGGGATCCTATCTGCAAGATAAGGGTGAAATTGGAGGTAATGCTTTTCTGATTATTGAATGGGACCGAGAGACTGGAGTTTCCCTTCTCTTCCGGGACCCTCCCACCCCACCCCGTCTCACCCCACCCCACCCTACCCCAGAGGTGGCTCCAGAGACAGAACTCTTTCTAGAACCTCTACAGCCTCCCCTGAGAAACCTCAACAGCCTTGGCCATCCACATACGACGAATAGTGTTCTGCCCTCGCGCGTGATGGTACAGCTTTGGGAAGCTGCAGAAGTTGGCTTTCTTTCCCTCCACGATTCCCTCGTTCCTCAGCGAGCCTGCCAGCAGTTCCTAAATAAGGGCTGCAACAGAATGACTTAACTGCTTGACCGAGGGCCAGGAAACCTTAAGGAAAGTTTGGATGGGGTGACGGTTTTATGAAAAACTAGTTTCTTGAGTAAGGAAGAGGAGCCAATGCTGGTTTGGAATATACCTCCTGGCAGAGTGCTTGATGTCCCATGATAGGAACTATGTAATCATGTCTCCTTTTGCTTAGACCAAGGTTATTGAAAACCAGACATATGATGAACGTCTAGAGATTAACGACTCTGAAGAGGTTGCAAGTATTTATACTCCAACCCCAAGACACCAAGGTAAGAGAGGAAAGAAGAGAAATGGTACTCAAAGAGCAGGATGGATTCACAGTTGTCTTCAAGAGGTTCCTATTTTATAATAGCAAATGTTGACTTTCAGAGTCAATTTACTTCACTTGCCATTGTTTGTTTTCTAACTAGTTAAGGGGGAGAAATCATAGCCTTCCAAATTACAGGATCTTCCCCCAGTTCAGCCCTGTCACCATTTACTTCATATTACTGCTTTGCTCACTATCTGCCAGGAATTCACTGTACTGTTTTTTTTTTTTTAACATGTTTTTCCCGGCTTTGAAGATGCTTCATAACCTCCCCTTAGACTGCAACCCCAACCAAAATCACAGTGGAATGTTTTTAACGGGCTGAACACTTTATTTATTCAACAAACTATTTTTTGCTTAATTTTATAGAGACGAGGTCTCACTATGTTACCAAGGCTGATCTTGAACTCCTAGCTTCAAGCAGTCCTTCCACTTTGGCCTCCCAAAGTGCTGGGATTACAGGTGTGAGCCATCGTGCCTGGCCAACAAGCATTTAAAAATGCCTACTGTGTGCCAGCCTTATGCCTGGCACTTGGGTAAATAGTGTTAAATGACACAATGTCCTTGCCATCCCGATGCTTGTAATCATGGGAGGCAGATGACAAATGAGTACACACATTCCAAATGTGGTAAGTGCACACCGATGGAGGCAGATTGTTTCTGTTAAGGAGAGTAACAGTGAGGAAGGAGACCTACTTATTTTTATTTTTATTTTTTTGAGATGGAGTCTCACTCTGTCACCCAGGCTGGAGTGCAGTGGTGCAATCTTGGCTCACTGCAACCTCCGCCTCCTGGGTTCAAGCAATTCTCCTTCCTCAGCTTCCCGAGTAGCTGAGATTACCACACCCAGCTAACTTTTGTATTTTTAGTAGAGACAGGATTTCACCATGTTGGCCAGGCTGGTCTTGAACTCCTGACCCCAACCGATCTGCCTGCCTCAGCATCCCAAAGTGCTGGGATTACAGGCGTGAGCCACAACTTCCGGCCAGAGACCCACTTTTGATAGGGTGGTCAGGGAAGATCTAAAGGGGTGACATGTAAGACTGGTAGATGGCAGGGATCCAGACACTGAGGAAAAGTAGACCAGGAAGAGGAAACAGTATGTGAGATGTGAAAAACCTTGAAGCCTGAAAGAACTTGGCTTAGTTTGAGAACCTGAAAGAGACCAGTTTACGGTAGAGGGGACTCTACCGTATGATATGGTCAGATCAGAGAGGTAGGGCAGGAAGCATAATAAGCAGAGCTTTGGAGGCTGTGTTGCTGTCGTGTGTGGAATGGACTGTTGGGATGGCTGAGTTGAGATGATAGTGGCTTGACCTCTGGTGAGGAAGTTGACAATAAAGAAAAGAGGCAAATATGGTACAAGACAGATTGTCGTAGAATCACTAAGACTTGCTGATGGATTGGATTTGACTCGAGTTAGGAATCAAGGATGACATCCAGGGTTTCTGTTTGTTTATTGTGGTAAAATATACATAACATAAAATTTGCCATTTTAACAATTTTTAAGTGTGCAATTAAATAACATTAAGTACATTCACAATGTTGTATGACCATCACCACTATTTCCAGATCATCCCAAACAGAAACTCCATGCCCTTTAAACAATAACTCCTGATTGCTTGCTTCCACTCTTCCCTGGTAATCATTATTCTACTGTCTCTATGAGTTTGCTTGTTCTGGGAACCACATAAGTGAAGTCATGCTGTATTTATCCTTTTGTGGCTGACTTCACTTACTGTGATGTTTTTAAGGTTCACCTGTATAGAATGTAGACTTTCTTTTTTAAAGCTAATATTCCATTGCATGTATATGCAAGTTTTTTTTGTTTTTTTTTTTTTCTTTTTTTGAGACTGAGTCTCGCTCTGTCACCCAGGCTGGAGTGCAGTGGCATGATCTCGGCTCACTGCAACCTGCGCCTCCCGGGTTCAAGCGATTCTCCTGCCTTGGCCTCCTGAGTAGCTGGGACTACAGGTGCACACCACCACACCCAGCTAATTTTTTTGTATTTTTAGTAGAGATGGGGTTTTACCACATTGGCCAGGATGGTCTTGATCTCCTGACCTTGTGATCCACCTGCCTTGGCCTCCCAAAGTGTTGAGATTACAGGCGTGAGCCATCGCGCCTGGCCTATGCCACATTTTTTAAATTCATTCATCTGTTAATGGACACTCAGGTTGTTTTCATGTTTTGGCTATTGTGAATAGCACTACTATGAACAGAGGTGTACAAGTGTCCATTTGAGTCCCTGTTTTCAATTCTTTGGGACCTAGCCACCTAGGTTTTTTTTTTTTTTTTTTTTGAGACG